AAAGCATTCAGCTGTGTGGATCATGATCAATTATGGATAACATTGGGAAGAATTGAAGAATGGAAGTTCCAGAACACTTAATTGTGCTCATGAGGAGCCTGTACATAGACCAGGAGGCTATTGTTCAAACAGAATGAGGGGATACTGTATGGCTTAAAATCAGGAAGGAAATGCATCAGGGTTGTATCCTTTCATTACACTTATTCAATTTGTATGCTGAGCAAATAATCCAAGCAGCTGCCCTACATGAAGAAGAACGCAGCGTCAGGACTGGAGGAAGACTCGCTAACAGCCTATGACAGCAGAGATGACACAACCTTGCTTACTGTAAGTGAAGATGACTGGAAGCAGTTACTGATGAAGGTCACAGACTCCAACCTGCAGTATGGATGACACCTCAACATAAAGGAAACAAAAATCCTTACGACTGGACCAATAAGCAACACTGTGATGAATGGAGAAAAGGTTGAAATTGTTAAGGATTTCATTTTACTTCATTCCTCAATCAAGGCCCAAGAAAGCAGCGGTCAAGAAATCAAACGATGTATTGCATTGGGCGGGAGCTCTGGTAGCACAGTGCCTAAGGCATTTGACTGGTAACCAGAGGGCTGGTGGTTCAAACCCCCAGCCACTCCTCGGAAGGCAGGTTGGGCAATCTACTTCTGTAGTGATACTGCCTTGGAAACCCAAGGAGGGGTCACTATGAGTCGGATCCAACTCGACAGGAGTGAGTTTGGTTTTTTTGGTATCACATTGGGAAAATCTCTTGCAAAAGACCTCTTTAAAGTATTGAAGAGCAAAGACATCACTTCAAAGGTTAGGGTGCTCCTGACCCAAGCATTGGTATTTTCCGTCACCTCCTATGTTTGTGATAGCTGAATAATAAGTAAGAAAGACTGAAGAATTGATCCCTTTGAATTGTGGTGGTGGAGAAGAATATTGAGAATGCCATGGACTGCAGAAGCATGAACAAAACTGTCGCGGAAGAAGTACGGCCCGAATGTTGTAGTACAGCCAGAACGCTCCTGAGAAGCCAGCATGACAGGACGGTTCATGTGCTTTGGACGTGCTATCAGGAGAGCCCAGTCTTTGGAGAAGGGGCTCGTCCTTGGTAAAGTAGAGGGTCAGCTAAAAGAGGAAGACCTCAACAGGATGCGTTGACACAGCGGCTGCAACAATGAGCTCAAACATGGCAACAGCTGTGAGGATGGTGCAGGACCAATGCAGTGTGCCTGGGGTTGCTGTGAGTCGGAACCAACTCAGTGGCACCTAACAACAACTACAAGAAGCAGATCTATAAGAGAGAGAGAGAGAGAGAGAACTTTTAGAAAGTTTTAGAAAGGAAAACTAAAATAACCAAAATTTAAAACAGAGCCAAAAAAGAGGTTCGGGGGGCAACACCAACAGAAAAAGACTGTGTGGGGGAGAGATTATGAGGCCTGGAAGACAAAATGAGAAAGGAGGACTAATAAATGTTTACTGTAGGTTCCGGGAGAAAAGAGAGAGCATGTGGCAGAGGCAGTATTTGAAGATAGACTAAGAATGTTTTGAAAGTGATGAAATTCATCCATTCACAGATTTGAGAAATAAAAACAATAACAAAAAAATCAACACCTAGATATGTAGGAGTAAAACTGCAAAACATCAAAAACAAAAAGAAGATCTCAAAAGCCAACTAAGAAGCAAAAGACCCAGAGTTAAACGGATAGCTGACTTTTCAAATTGTATGCAATATTGAATGCTAGAAGGAGTGGATGAATAACTTATACTACTGAACTCAATATTTACCCATCTAGAATTCTACTGTTGTTGTGATTTGGGTGAAAGTTTATAGAGCACATTCATTCTCCATACAGCAGTTCATAAACATTTTGTTTCATGACAAATAAAATAAATAACACCAAACTTACTGCCATGGAGTCGGATCTGACTCATAGTGACCCCTCCTTGGGTTTCCAAGGCATTATCACTATGGAAATAGATTGCCCAACCTCCCTCCGAGGAGTGGCTGGTGGGTTTGAACCACCAGCCTTCTGGTTAGCAGTCAAATGCCTTAGGCACTATGCCATCAGAGCTGTTTCATGACATTGACTGCAGTTCCCCACCATCTAGAATTTTATACCCAGGAAAACACATTTTAAGAATAGGAATGATACAAGCACATTGCAAACAAACAAGATTATTCACCGTCAGTAGACTCTACCAACCAAATAATCAACCAGACAAACCAACCCATTGTCCTGGAGTCAATTCCCACTCATAGCTCCCTACTCCAGAAAATTGTAACAAATGTGCTCCAGGCAGAGGAAAAGTGACCCCGACTCGACGGCAAACAACAACAACAATAAGAAATGAAGACAAAGACAATGGTGGTGGATGGATAAGTGTTGTGTTGTACCACAACAACAGGAGCTCTGGTGGCATAGTGCCTGAGGCTTCTGACTGCTAACTAGAAGGCTGGTAGTTCAAACCTACCAGCCACTCCTTGGAAGGAAGACTGTGCAATCTACTTCCATAGTGATACTGCCTCAGAAACTCATAGAGGGGTGGCAATGAGTCGAATCTGACTTGATGGCAGTGAGTTTGAGTTCATACAACAATGACCTATGGAGTTAAAAGAAGGCAGAATTCAGATACATACCCCCCACAGGATATATCCCACCACTCGTCTGTCAGTTTGTCGTACTGCAGTGGCTTGTGTGTTGTTTTGGGGCTGGAAGCTATGCCACCAACATTTCAAATACCATCAGGGTCACCGACGGTGGACAGGTTTCAGTGAAGCTTCCAGACTAAGACTCAGAAGAAGGAAGGGGCCGTCCACTGAATTGAAGTGAAATACTGTTTGATATATTAACTGGAAACTTTTTATGAATAGCCCTGAAACACTGTCCAATATAGGACCAGAAGATGAGCCCCTCAGGTCGGAAGACACTCAAAATATGACTGGGGAAGAACTGCCTCCTCAAAGTAGGAAAACAAACAAACTCACTGCCGTCAAGTGGTTTAGTCTCATAGCGACCCCTCCTTGGGTTTCCGAGGCAGTATCTCTACGGAAGTAGATTGCCCAACCTTCCTTCCGA